TAGCAGACTTCATGGCAGCAAAAGAAACAAGAAGAACAAGAAATTAAACAAGAAGAGAGATTACAGCAGTTGTTGGAGGAAAAAGAAAAGAAACAAGAAGAACAAGAAATTAAACAAGAAGAGAGATTACAGCAGTTGTTGGAGGAAAAAGAAAAGAAACAAGAAGAACGAGAAAATAAACAAGCAAAGAAACAAGAAGAAAGACAACAGCAGTTACAAGAAAACCTACAACAATGGCAGCTCGAACAGCAAAGTAAACAAGAGAGACTACAGCAGTGGTTGAAGGAGAAAGAAAATAAACAAGAAGAGAGATTACAACAGTTGTTGGAGGAAAAAGAAAAGAAACAAGAAGAAAAATTACAGTAGTGGCAACTGGAACAAGAAAGGAAACAGGAAGAAAGTCAGCAGCAACTACAGGAAAGCCAACAACAGTGGCAAGAAGTAAGTAAATTTAAAAGCGAATTAGATACATTAAAGGATGATTTATTGTCTTTTACACAGGAAGGATACATTAGCCATCGACTTAACCAGCCCCAGACAATGGCAAGCCCCTTCCAGACCCTGCAGCTAAACCCTAATGCAGACATCTTCAGCCCTGTTAGAAGTCACATCCCAGATATAAATGTCAGTAATAGGAGTGATTCAGTGCGAAGGAAGCCACATGAATTCGATGGAAAGGCACCGTGGGAAGCATATAGAGCACAATTTGAGCTACTGGCAGAGATGAACGGATGGACAGAGGAGCAGAAAGCAGTATATCTGGCAACGAGCTTGAAGGGACAACCACTGGAAATACTTGGACAGTTGTCAGCAGATGACAGGCACAACTATAGAGCATTGGTAGCGGCTCTAGAACTCAGGTATGGAACCCAAAATCAGTCGGAAGTCTACAGGGCTAGGTTCAGGACGAGAGTCCGTGTTAAAGGGGAGAGCCTGCAAGAGCTTTAACTGGACTTGGAAAGCATGGCACACAAGGCCTACCCCACCGCACCACCCGATCTCCTCAAGTTGTTGCTGAGGGATCAGTTCGTAGATGCCTTGGACAGTCCACAACTTAAGATACAAGTGAAGCAAGCACACCTCTCTACCATGCAAGATGCAATGGCCAGAGCTCTCGAATTTGAATCCTACGTTAAGTCCAGCACAGAAGTACCAGGGTTAGTACAGTCATCTGGATTCAAGGCCAGAAAAGGGCTGCTTTCAGAGAGGTTTGAGGGACTTTGCTGGCACTGTAACAAACCTGGACACAGGAGAGCTCAATGCTGGAACCTTCAACACAAAGGAGATGATACAGCAGGAAAGGCTGCTATCCAGAAAGGCTGTTGGAACTGTGGGGAGCAAGGACATCTGAGGAGCCAGTATACGAAGAATATTACCAACAAGTCAGCCTCAAAGAGACCAGTAGTGGTTGGTGTTGAGAGACACTCACCAACCCCCATCATTAAAGTCCCTACAGCTAGGTGTAAAATGCCAAGCACACACAGCGTCTATGTGACAGAAAAGCTGGATGGCCAAAGGTGCAACTTTGTCATAGATTCTGCGTCTCAGCAAACCCTTGTGAGCATCAAGGTGTTAGATCACGAAGGAGCTACAGAAGCTTTGTGGTCTGACAGGACATTCTACAAGATTGTGGGGACCAGTGTGGGTAACTATTGAGCTTATGGGCATAAAGGACAGACAGAAAGTATACTTGGCTGACATTGAAAACCAATGCATATTAGGATTAGACTATCTACTACCAAGGAAGTTTG